ACATAAATTTATGTGAAATCTGATCAGACCTCACAAATACATAAATTTATGTGAAATCTGATCAGACCTCACAAATACATAAATTTATGTGAAATCTGATCAGACCTCACAAACCTCACGCGGGTCGCGAATTCATCTCTGTCACGAACTTATCTGGAAACTCGTCTTCTAATCGCTATTGGAAACTTTTCAACATTAAATAGAGGACGGTTGTCCTCTTTAAAATAAACATGTTAATGTTATATTATTCATAAATCATAAAACTACTTTGAGGTCAAGTCAAGGAGTAGAATGAAGACGATATTTCCTTTTCAAAATATCAATTTTGAGCTAAAATACTTGTCACAACAACTTGCTTCTACTCCTTGACTTGACCTCAAAGTAGTTGGATAAAATGACTGGCTTGTTTTCGCTCGTGAAATCTTTGTTCAAGTATATGACTTTTCAGGGTTTTAAAAGTGTATTAAAAAAACCTTTGCATCTCAAGTGCTGAATGTCACGGTAATGAATTCCGGTAACTCAGACTTCCAAGTTCTTCATACGGTATACTAGTATAGATCTATTTCATGAATTAAAGATTGTCGAAAATTATGGCCGTTGAACGGAACCGTATTGCATTCACAAAGGAGCGATGGTTTTGATAACCATTCATGGCTCCATTTATTAGTCTCCATTTTCAATAAATAAACAAATAAACTAAACAACTAAACTATAACCCTTTCGGTCTTGCAATATTCGTTCGAAAATCGCCGTCCGCCGTTCGTTCAACCTCGACAACCTTTGTTTTGATATCAAATCAACACGTCGTTACTCCCTGTACGTCATCAACCCAGTTCCCCTCGAGATCGGCCGAAAATCATTTTGTTTTCATAAATTTGTGCTTCATAACTCGCAAACTTGTCTTTCATTGATCGAGGAGAAATTGTAATGAGTGTCATGGAAAATAGAAAAACTGTAACTCAGAAACTGGTAATGGAAAGGTACTACTAATTACCTACAAAAATAGACCTAACACGATCGAGCATATCACTCTTYGTCGGAATCGCCATACAGTGCCTTCAGCTCATTCTTTACGGCCTGTTTCAACTTTCCAGATTGAGTCATAGTAAAGCCCGAGAGTTTTACCGAGGATTTTGCGATTACTTCTCTGCTTTCGACCATTGACCTTCCTTGGCGCTTTTTATACACCTTCCATGTGCCAGACCAGCTCCCCACATACCACTGTACTTCAATCTCGGCATCATCGTTGCACAATGTAACGACCTTAGCTATTTGAGGCTTTTCAGGCCAGTACTTTTCCAAATCGACGGCAACGAACACTCCGGGAATTATGTCACTAGGATCACTAGTGGTCCTTGAAGGACGAATAATATTGTAACGGGCACAGTTTTCCCGGTAGTTAGGTCTATACTTGCCCAGATAAATCTGAAAGATAAAGTTTAAAATGTAAGTACGCCTACTATTTACTAATCTCATATTCTTGAATGCTTTRCGGCATAGTATYTTGTGTTTTTATGTAGCTCGACCCGTCCCTTAGTTCTGCTTGTACTCACAGGAAGTAATCCTTCTCCACGTTCAAGAGCTTCGCTTTTTTTCAGCACGTCATGTGCATTTAGTTCAGGAGAGTCGACATCCGGCTTTTCGGGCAAAGCTCTGTCCCTCAAATCGTCAACAAGCCACCTGTCATCATCACAAGTTAAATATGTCAAGCTTGGCTTGTGCTGCTTTGTTGCATTGCCTGTGGGCAAATTCAATGGTTAAAACTTTGCTTAGATTGTCTGTATGCACTTACAATACATTTATAAGCAAGATCGGGCCGGTATGAATTTATCAATTTAGCATGAATTTATCGGCAGTTACAGGGAGGTAAAATCCATCTTAATAATTTGGGTGGTTTTCAGAAWGTCTTTAGTAACTTTAATTAAGAGAAAATTACCATTTTCTTTGCAATATACTCAGCTTCTTGCAAACTATCTTCCTTACTCTCCTCTCGGTCAAGGAATTCCCACCACTGATGAGCTTCCTATTCATTTATCACTCCTTTTTGCAGACACCTCTCAGTCATCGAACGAATGCGTCTTAGATCCACTGAGGAGTAAGCTGGCATAACAAGTTCCGGAATATTTTCTGGTATACTCTTTAAAATGATGTGTGGTGGAAACCTGATTACGTCGTATTTGTCTGGGTGAAAAAATGTCCAAACATAACATATTACAAATAGAAAACGAAAATAATACAAAACAAGAAAACAAACGAAAAACTAAAAAAACATGAGCGTATGTGCCTTTTGAGCAGAAGAGATTATAGGTTTACCTCTACACCAATTCTTGTAGTGCATTTGACATTTGCCTTCCTCGTTCCTCGTAAACTTAAAGTTATGGTAGTCCCTAAGTCAGTGCATTTCGTCAGTCATGTGAGGAATAATCCACTCTCTGATAGCAAAGACTTGTTCCGTTTCAGCGTACTGTATTACGGCACCTTCTTGTGTCGTTTCKCCTTGTTTTTGCTTATAGCAAGATCGTAGCATTTTGAGGAAATTCTGATAGGTCAAACAACCAGTTTTGGCTAATGCCACAGACAGCCTAGAAAACATCTGATCTACATCAATGTGAGTGTGGCCCACTGGTAGAAACGAAACTTCAATCTGAAATGTCAGCAAAAACACWGMTAACTATGGTAGGGTAAAACAGCTTTATTGTGATGATAAATGTAGTTGTGTWAAATTAAAMGAAAAATGACTTGTGACAATAAAAACATGTTCATTGTACTTTATAAGGAACTCAACAAAATTTCAGCGTTAACGCTAGTTTCTACTGCTGTCCATCACATTTTTTAAATGATACTTACAACGTCGAATACATCTGTTTCCACCAGGTATGCCATAAACGCAAGGACGAAGTGGTTTTTGTTTTCTCGGGAAGTCTAACTGAATAAAAATCTTCTTTGGAAGGAAGTCTTTATGTATCCAAAGAGTCTGTGAAAAAGCAACCCCAAAACAAAATTACGATGTCACTCAAACATAGTACTAACTTTGACTCAAATATCAAAGTTTGATAACGACGTAAAATCGGAGGTCCCGTCTCTCTACACTTCACTCACTAACCTGTATTAGAGGGACGTTAAAGAACCCACACCATTGTTTGCATAAGAGTAGGGAATGATTCCCGGTGTGTGTGGTTAGGCCTTACTACTAACCTATACTAATTACTAACCCTCATGATTGTAAGCCGCGTGGCTGCCAATTGCGCCTTAAACAGCGGTCCGTGTGAAATGATCTATACATGTGAAGCGCCTTTGAAMTCAGAGGATATCGGCGCTATATAAATACCACATATTATTATTATTACAAGATTTGCGCGCGCGTAGAGTCAAAATGTAACAACCTCCGCACTATGTTCGATTTACAGAAAACTATACATGAAGTRAAATATGAATTGAAACGCTAAATCATATCAATGTTCATTCTAGGGATCTTAGAATCATGTTAGAATGATTCCACTCCTTCTTTGTTGTTAGATTTTTTCCCCGGGGACGGTTTCSAAAACGACCCTAAATCCCCTCTCTCTCTATCAATACTAATGGTCATTGTTATTGTGCATGAAAGACGTATTAATTGGTGTTGGAACCACTTTACTACTTTAACAATGAGTAACATTTTGCTTTATACATAAAAGGTCAAAGGTGCAAATAAGGGTTTTGGCTTACCCAAAACAAATATCTACACGATGAATTCTATTTTTGCTCTGCTTACAACATTTGAGAATGCCACGTGCCAGATCACTTTGCCTTCTTGACCAATAMAATCTGAGGAAAGATATTTCACCTTTACTTTACTTTCAATGAAGTACTAACATTAATATATAAATGTAATTTACCGGTTTAAAAGTATTTCTCTTATCGATCTGTCTCTGGAACATTTCTCTCCGTTTTTCGTAATCCTCGTCAGTTGTTTCTGGCTCAGGGTCAGGCGGGTGGTAGCGAAAAGACAACAAGTCAAAGGCCGCTCCTGCTTTCTTGTACTGATGGTCGGTGAGCTCGTTCCAGTTCTTTACTTTAGCTTCCTCTTCCTTTATTGTCTTTTCCCAYCACCCTAGCTCTTCTCCAGTCATGCGTGGCTTCATCTGAATGAAATCAAAAAGAGTGAGATTTTGAATTTCCGTAAGTTTATTTTCTTACTGTAAAGTACATAATACCTTTCCAATAGCCTCTCTCATTCGCTCTACTGTGGGGCATTTCGCTAGGTCTGGTCTCAGGATTGGTGGTTTTCCCTTTGGTATCGTGACAAGGCTGATATGGGGGGCCTTGGGGAGCCACTCCTTTTCTTTGGAATTCGCCCAGTTTCTGTAAGTCATTTCCACTTCTCCTCGTCTATTTAGTTTAAAACGGAATGCATGGGGATGACTATGATTTTTAAAAGTGGCAATGTGAGGGCGAATCCAAGATTTGACATCGTAGATATTCTCTACGAAAACTGTCACTGGACTAGGAGTGAACGCTCCCCTGATAACCCCSTCTAGCTGTGGTCTAGTGACGGCTTTGCTTGTGTTAAGGGCCACTGAAATCCTGCTAAACATCTGTTAGGCGTAAAGAAGTGATTTAGTGCAATAATGAATTGTGCTATCACATATTTTTGTGCTACCTGGTCTATGTCTTCGTGTGTGTGTCCGACCATGAGATAGGATAGACGTACCTACATCCACAAAACATAATTAGGAAGCCGAACATGGGGAAAGAGAATTGTTAGCAAAATTACTTACTTTTTGGAAAACCTTGGCTTTCACTAGCAAAGAGCAAAATCCAAGGATGGATCAATAGGAAACTGGGTTGAATAAAATATGTGTTTTCTTGAGTCACGTTAATCTCGCGGCTAACCTTCAACGACTGAACMCAGTGAGGGATTCCAGTTTTTGCCTGGTCCATGCCATCAATTATAATCGAGAGATATTTTTCGGGCTTTTTTTCTGCTTTCTTTTGGTGCTTGTAGTATTTAAGTCGTTCAGAACTGGTTGCATGACAAAGAAAAGCCATTAAATAAAATTGATACTGACTAGGCAAACTCTAATGTACTTACGCTTGTTGATCCAAATGATATTGCTTCCTTTCGAGCCATGTTAGCTTTTTTTCGGTGTTTTTGGTTTCACAGATCATGTCTCCAATAAGGAGACAGACTCCACATTTGGAAAAACGATTTCTCTGTCGAATAGAAGAGCTTTGTATCATGAATCCATTTGTGAATTGACATTAATGTTTTTTAGCCGTTTTTTATGATAATTACCTTTGGGATCACAACCTCGGGGAATGTTTCCAGCCACATAGACCTAAACTGAGTTTTCTTCAGTGKCTGCCTCACTGACTCAGTATAGGCCTTGTAGACTTTCCTTATGGTTTGGCAAGCAGGCAGCTCTACTCTTGGGTTATCAGGCATTCTGTTACCCATAGCAGTAGAATACTCACCAAACCACAATTCGGCTTCCATATATCTATTGGACTTTTTKCGAATCCCCAATCGCCGATGTATCGGGGTTCGGGTGCCTCTTTGGAATTCGTTCTTCCAGTGGTGAAATCTATTAAGTTTTAAAATTTTTAGAATATATTTCAAAACATATTATAATATAAATAGTGTGCACCTTACCGTCCATAAGACATGCCATAACTGAATATCCAGGCTTTCTGGCAGAGGTCCCTTCCTTCAATAGTGTAATTATAAACGTCCCTTCCACCACGTTTTTTAAGACACAGTTGGAAGAAATTAAGTAACCACTGGTCTTGACTCCTATCCATCTCGATGAATTCTTCTCTACTTTTTTGAATGTCTGCTTTAGAAAGAACTAAGTGGACGCAATTTTTTTCGCAACACTTAAAATCTTTCATAGCATTTTCTATATTGGATAGAGTCATTTTYATTTTACTTTTTTTAACAAATCCCTTTTTTCTTCTTGTAATTCCCTTTTTCTTTTGCACCTTCCGTACTTTTGGCATGCTGGCATGTCAATAAATAGAAGACCATTGATATGCTTATTGAGGTCAGTAGTTTACTTACCTCTGGATTATCGTCCATGTATTCTTCATATACACTTCCATGATTGCATGCACCGCCACATGAACAATCAYGTATTTTTTTGACATACTACCCGCTAACAAAACAACCTTTCATAGATATTGCCATAGACAGACTTTTACAATGGAAATGATTTCTTTTCGACATCAAAAATTGTTTCTTACCTATAGCGTTGAAGTTTTATCAGGAATGGCTTCTTAATAATTGATGCTGAACTGAAAAGATTTCAAATTTCCCGCTCGTGCACGACGTTCAATTATCAGCTAGAAATGATATGTCTATCAGGGATAACATGGAGTATGACCTCGAGAGGTTTTTGTTATCGAATGAGGTCATCTACCGGGACAACCTCGTGCCCGTACTAAAATCACGGTGAAAACTACTATGAATGTCAAAGTAAAAAATCCAATGCTAGATTTAAGAAGTATATGAA